AGCATAAGATAAAAGTAATATTACTACTAGAATTGTATAATTTGCGTAAAGAGGTTGAATATTATGTTGTTTGTATTAAAATGAGACTAGAACAGAATTTTGCCTTAAATATAGTGGCACAACCAAGAATCAAAAAGTGGATAAATAATGAAAAATATAAACATTTATGAATGGTTATTAGAATTATATAATTCATTAAACACTGCAAATATGACTATTAATATAGTATCTATAATCAAAGAAGCAATGTTAAGAATAGAAGATAGACAAAAATAACACTTGGTAATATTGAATAATTAAGATTGATAATTTAATAAAATTGTAAATATCAAATTAAATAAGAATATTAATAGTATTAAAGATGAAATTATTGTCATGTTTGTTCTAAAATGTAAACACTCTGCAGTACACTGTTTACACAATGATATGTTTGTTGAAACAATAAAAAATGTATTTTTAAAAAAATGAGAAAAGAACAATACAAAGAAAAACTCTTTTCAAGATGAAATACCCATGGAGTCTCCACCCATTGCTTTGCTCTTTAAAAGCACATAATTTCCTTGCCCAGTTTTTCCCAAAAGCTTTTTAGTGCTACTATCAAACATATGCATGATGAATCTAGTGTTTATCTTCCATTGTTTGGGCTTCTCCTCCCTTAGCCTCTTCTTTGGTCTGCTTTTCCACTGTGCAACAGGAAGGCAAATGAAATTAAATGTAATTGTAAGTACATGGTGCTTTCTCATTGCTGTGTGTCCTTTGCAATTTAGCTATGCTTTTTCTTTCTAGATCCCACATTTAGATTTTGATTGCCTTGTAATGATATATTGGATAATTACTGTTACATGTATATCAACATCAGGAGCCAGAGAAATGATATTTAGAAAAAGGCTGCAAAGACTGAGAAAAAATATCCAAAACCAAAGATATCCCACATTTTTAGTCTGAATTTCATATCCTCTCAATCTAAAGAAGATCATTGATTCTAGAATTTTGATCTGACTTCAACATATAAAACTGACAACAGTAATAGCATTCATATCTCCAACAATCTTTTCCAAGATTGTCTTTTGCTGTGAATGTTGAAAGATATCCAACACATCTAATGATCAACTGGTCAGAAAAGGCTAGTTAAGAAGATTGTCATCTTTCCATCTCTGAATATATGAAAAGGCCAATCACAGCCTTTTGAGATCTGAGCACATTTTCAATGGCAGGTATGCATTTGAACTGCAGTCCTGTGGAAATCTTGATAGATAATCAATTTATTTATTTGTTTGTTTGTTTATTTAATCTGATTTGTCAATCACTTACAAGATAATAGTTATAAGAATAAAAATGAGCATGAATACAGGAATTAGGTATGAATAAATGGGGACAATAGGACAGGGATGGTAGGCATGATGTGCATATGCCCGCTCCTTACAGACCTCTTAGGAATGGGGTGAGTAGATAGTTAAAGGATTGGGGGGGGTTGAGGATGTAACAACAGAGTCAAGTTTGCAGGCATTGACCACTCTGTTGCTGAAGTCGTACTTTCTGCAATCAAGTTTGGAGAAGTTTACATTGAGTTTGCATCTATTGTGTACTCTTGTATTGTTGCGGTTGAAGCTGAAGTAATCATTTACTGGTAGGACATTGTAGCAGATAATTTTGCGTACTACATTTAATTGTTCAGTTAACTTTTAGTGATTATAATATATAGACATATTTTTTTTCATGATATGTCCCAAACATCATCACTTTAATAGAATCCAATGTCATTCTCTTTTCCTTTCCATATGTCTCAAAATTAATGACAATTTTGCAGAGACTGAGGTCTTTGCATAATAAGATAACTCAATCCTCAAATGAAAATTCAGATTGAATTGTTCATGAATCATTTGTGTGTTTTCTTGGATTGTTCACAACATTTGTCATCTCAAATACCAAAATTCAAAGTATCAATTTTTTTTCTTAAACTTGAACTTTCGCTCCCATAGAGTATATCACAAAAATACTATTGTTTGCACTATTCTATTCTTTGAAGATATACATTATAGCATCTGAATATTTTTTCCAATGCCCACATGGATGCTGTACCATGCCATTCTCTAAAGTTATTTTTTGGGGGGAGGAGGAATTACATTCAAAATATAGTAGCTGTGTTACCACCAAATCTTGTGGGATTTTGGTGTTCTTCCCTGAAATCTTAGTAATTGTGTGAGACTTCTATCATTTAAAAAAATGATCATGAAACGATAATCAAGAATTTTCTGAAATATTTGATCCTACCTAACTGGAGGAAATAATTTCTTTATTCATTTTTAATGTTTCATCCAAATTACTTTAGAGAGAGACTGGAAAGGGCTTCACTTTCCTGATTCAGAAATGTCATTGCAAGTTCTCGTATTTAATTATAATAACATGCTTTATATCAAATTCAAGTTCTTCTAACAATTAATATTGTCTCCAAACACTTTTACCAGCTTTATCGGCATGGTGACAGATCTCCTCTTTCAAGTTTTCCCCAAAATTCAGTCAAAGAACATGCCTGGCCACGGGGATATGGACAACTGACAAAGGTTTGATAGATATTCTTAAAACGTTCATTAATCCAAGTACAGTATTATGTATTTTAATTCCATTTTCCATAGCTTCCTTTGTCCAAGGCTGTTACTCAAATATTCAGCATTTATTGACTTATCTCATCCAAACTTCATGGCATAACTTTTTTAGGATGCAATAGATCTTTTAATTTGGTGACAGGTCAAAAAATGTATTGCCTATTTCAAGATATTTAACTACATATTATATTATTCTTAACACAGACTGGAATACAGCAGGCCTATAACCTTGGGCAGTGGTTAAAAGATAGATATAAGAACTTCTTAAGTCCTTCATACAAGCCAAAAGAGGTAAGAATGAGAAATAAACTTCTTTATTTCTTATATATCCAGTAATAACACTTTTTTTGACATGAACTAAAGGTTAGTTAGCTCATTTAGGGATACCATAGACAGGTCTAACAATCACAAAGATGAAAGGCTGTATTTGAAAGATAGTGTCCAACATCAGTCTAACGGTTCTATACTTGTCTGAAATTGTAATTCCTAAGAGATACAGACAGTTTCCCTGTGATGATGTTTTCTTATTTCTTGTCACTTTCCTATCCCAATGGTAACTGTTGTGATGGCAGAAAAGAAAAAAAAGTCCAATGGAACCGGAACCATCTACAGTCATTCTTTTTCTTACCGTTTCTCTATGTTTCTTCCCATCTCTCCATTTTATTTCAGGGAACTTTAAAAAAAATTCTTCAGATTTTCTGGCATAGAAACAGAGGGAGGGAGGGAGAGAATTGTATGTTCATCATTCTCTCAAATTCTTGTTTTTCATTACTTGTAAAAGAATGTATGGGAATCAGATATTTGAGCTTTCATTTGAGGTTATCAAAGATAGAATTGAGATCCCTGACTGGATACCCTGTAAGACACTACTACACTGCTCAAAAAAATAAAGGGAACACAAAAATAAGACATCCTAGATCTGAATGAATGAAATATTCTTATTAAATACTTTGTTCATTAAATAGTTGAATGTGCTGACAACAAAATCACACAAAAATTATCAATGGAAATCAAATTTAGCAACCCATGGAGGTCTGGATTTGGAGTTACAATCAAAATTAAAGTGGAAAAAAACACTACAAGCTGATCCAACTTTGATGCAATGTCCTTAAAACAAGTCAAAATGAGGCTCAGTAGTGTGTGTGGCCTCCACATGCCTGTATGACCTCCCTACAATGCCTGGGCATGCTCCTGATGAGATGGCGGATGGTCTCCTGAGGGATCTCCTCCCACACCTGGACTAAAGCATTCCCCAACCCCTGGACAGTCTGTGATACAACGTGGCATTGGTGGATGGAGCGGGACATGATGTCCCAGATGTGCTCAATTGGATTCAGGTCTGGGGAACGGGCGGGCCAGTCCATAGCATCAATGCCTTCATCTTGCAGGAACTGCTGACACACTCCAGCCACATGAGGTCTAGCATTGTCTTGCTTTAGGAGGAACCCAGGGCCAACCGCACCAGCATATGTTCTCACAAGGGGTCTGAGGATCTCATCTCGGTACCTAATGGCAGTCAGGCTACCTCTGGTGAGCACATGGAGGGCTGTGCGGCCCCCTAAAGAAATGCCACCCCACACCATTACTGACCCACTGCCAAACCGGTCATGCTGGAGGATGTTGCAGGCAGCAGAACGTTCTCCATGGCGTCTTCAGACCCTGTCACATCTGTCACATGTGCTCAGTGTGAACCTGCTTTCATCTGTGAAGAGCACAGGGTGCCAGTGGCAAATGTGCCAATCTTGGTGTTCTCTGGCAAATGCCAAACGTCCTGCATGGTGTTGGCCCTCATACCACCCTCATGGAGTCTGTTTCTGACCATTTGATGAGCTGTACTACCTGAGCCACTTGTGTGGGTTATAGACTCTGTCTCATGCTACCACTAGAGTGAAAGCACCGCCAGCATTCAAAAGTGACCAAACCATCAGCCAGAAAGCATAGGAACTGAGAAGTGGTCTGTGGTCACCACCTGCAGAACCACTCCTTTATTGGGGATATCTTGCTAACTACCTAAGCTTTCCACCTGTTGTCTATTCCATTTGCACAACAGCATGTAAAATTGATTGTCAATCAGTGTTGCTACCTAAGTGGACAGTTTGATTTCACAGAAGTGTGACTGACTTGGAGTTACATTGTGTTGTTTAAGTGTTCCCTTTATTTTTTTGAACAGTGTATATCATACTGATGACAGTTAAAGACAAATATTTCTTCATTCAAAATTTATCAGTCTTTTTACTGGAATTCATATCATTCACATTAGCAATGTACATATCCACATATCATGGCAGGCCATGAATCAAACAATGAGATAAGCAAATGCATAACATTTTAAAAAGCAGGGCTCACATGATGTAGAAGTTACAAAGAAGATCAGGTTAGACAACTTTTTTTTTCCAGATTTATGTTCAAAGTACAGATTATGATCGAACCATAATGAGTGCTGAAGCAGTCCTGGCTGGTCTCTTTCCTCCTTCAGCCGAAGAAGAGTGGAACCCAGATATTCACTGGCAACCTATTCCAGTTCATACTATGCCTCTTTCAGAGGAAAAGGCAAGGAAGCATGTTATCTTTTAACGTTCTCAATGACTTTAAATAGTACCTTGTACCGTGTGATTCAGAATAGGCTATGATGGCAGAATATGTGAGTTACAATACCTGTGAATTGGTGCCATTTCAGATTGCAAGAAAGATACAGATCCTTGAATATTCCTATATATAGAAAATTAGAATGCTGGAAGGAAAAGTAGCTTTGTCTCTTACCAGAGAATTGCCCATAGAACAGCTTCCTCTGGAGATTTGTACTACCTCAATCCTGTTGACCTTTTGGAAGGTTTTTCAACCTTGCCTTTTTCCTAAGGACAACTCACCTGACTCGCCCCACCCATCTTGCCACAGCCCACCCACCACAGGATAATTCACCATGAGACAACTCAATGTGAGATAATTCAAAAGAGGGACAAGTGAATTGCAGGGGCCTTGTCTTTTTATAAGTTTAAGCCTTTTCAATTTAGAAGTCCTTGAGGCTGGGTGCAATTCATTTGTCCCTCTCTTGAGTTATTTAATTGTCCCACAGCTAGGCAGGATGAGTCAGTCAGATGAGCCAGCCGGGATGAGTCAGCCACAACAAGACAGCCATGGCGAGTTATGGGGTAAGTTAGCTGCAGTATCCTATTCCAGCTTTGGGGTGTTAACAGAGCACGGTCTGCATTTAGTCTGTATTTATTCAAGAGTTTTTAATCTAGTATCTCTATTGTTTTTATCATTGTTTAAAATATTTCCTTTCATACGTAATTTTATCTCATTCACCATCCAGACTTGATTGCAAGATGGGCAGCCATATACATTTGCATAATAAACACATCAAGAAAAATTGTGTGAATTTCTACCTTTATTTTTCAGTACTTTAGTGACTTCAGATAGTTGAATTGATTTTTTGCCAAGGAAGCTGAAGTCTGCCAGCTAGCAATGCATTTCACTGCATTTGTGTGTGTGTGTATGCAACCCCATGTTTTTCTAGACCATTATTCATTATGTTCATATATCATATATGAATCATATATGAATATGAATAGCTATATGTATGTATTCACATTTACATATAAACCAGCAGGCAGTGATATTCTGATTCTGATCAAAAATTTAGGGCATCAGGATTACTTTTAAATTGAACTACTCAGTCTAAAATAAAAATATTACAAGAGGCCCAGCTGACTCCCCAATAAAGAGGGTAATGACTATGCTTGAACAAGATTCCCTACAGCATAAGCATTTCTCAGTTAACAAAACATCTATTTTATCCATGTAAACACCTAGCTGCCTTGAACACAGATATTAAAAATAATCCCCAAAACAACATGAATTCAAACTGTTGCCAAGAGTTCAGTGGTTTCTGTTCTGTATTACTGTATTAGCATTCTTGTAATACTCAATCCTGATTGGTTAAGACGCACCGCGCTCGGATTGGCTGAGTAAGCCGCAGTGATTGGCCCGTTGTGAATCACCCGCACTTGGATGAAACCGATTGCGGGAGATTCGAAACGATGTCATTGGCCGCGGCGCCGAGAGCAGGTTCAATATAAGCCGCCACCGATCCAAAGCCGAGCCGAGCTGATCTAAACATGCAATAAAAGAGCTTAAAAGTCACTGAGTCTCGCGTCTCTTCTTGGGACCGATCTGCGGACTTAACAGTTTCATACAATAATTTCAAAGCAGAGGTAAATTCTAAAACATTTTTTGTCTATAAATGGGAGTAAAATAGCTGATTTAAAAAAAAAATATTTTTAATGCCAAGAGTCAGAATGTATCTTCTGGCAGAACTCTGAAACAGTATGAATTACACACAATCTTTACAACTCCACATAATATATAATGTGAAAGGGAGATCTTGTGCCTTTACTAATAATGCAAATAATGCAATTAGGTTAGCTAGATGAACATGAAAATGATTATATGGAGGCAATTCTAGTTATTTAATCATGATTCTTTTTTCATTTCTTGTTGTAGTTATTGATATATCCCAATTTTAAATGCTCAAGTTTTAATGGATTACTACAACAGTTCAAACAAGAAATAAAATCCAAGAACATCTTGAAAAAACACATGGTAAGAAACAGAAACAAAAAAAACCCCATGTTTCTTCTGTTACCTTGAAAGGCATACTGTAAAAAATATGCTTAAATTGTTTTTAAGCTATTGTTGTCTAGAAGTACAAGCTACCCCAAAATAAGAAGTGAATGGAGTGACACAAAAGGAAAACAAAAATGTAGTTTCAGCTGGACAAAGTCAAGCTCCCCATAGGCTGTCTTTGTGCACAGTCAAAATGGCTGCCATTTTAACCCTTTTGCTTGCCTGCAAAGACAATGATCTTGTACACATATAATCAAGACATGACACACCTGGCAAATATAATCAACTAATATCAAATGTGTGGGGAAAGAATGATTTTGAAAATTGAGGAAATGACTAAAACATTTCCTGCCTGAAGATAAGACTTTCTGATGATTTTAATCTAGATAATTTACTTTTCATTTACTATTTAGTGATAGGGTGGTAAAGTTTCCATGAGGGCGAGACAGAGTCAAAGGAGGATACAGCAGTTCAAGCAAGATTATTGAATACTGAGGGTGGAAGAATAGAGGTGACAAGAAATAACATTTGCTAACATTTATTACTTCTAAAAATTCAGTTAACAATGACAGCAGCTCGGCTAACAGCAATAGCTGACTCCATCTGACAGTGCTCCTTTTATAGTCAACTGTCAGAGGGGGCAGCCAATCTGAACGAATGCCTCTTCCCCCTTAAACAGCAAACCAAATTCACAACAGAGATATTTTTTATTTACAGTGGCCATCTTTTTATGGTCTACTTTTTATGGAGCTACTTTGCTCCTCATACAACTTTCTTTATTCAGAAAACAACTTTCTTTATTCACAAGTTTATTCACTATTTACCACCTTCATTTAACTTTAAAAGTATTGAATTGTTTACAAGAAAAAAATTGGAAGAGATTAAGATCTCATTCAAAGTGCCACTGATTTTACCTCATTTCTTTGCTGCATAAAAATATGAAATCTGAGGGTCTTTTTTCTTCTTTTTATGTATTTCAAATATTTAATTCTTCAGCCAGCTCAAGAAAAACTAATTTTTTAGTTTTTCATTTTGGCTGTAGCTGCAAAGTTCAATCTGAAGTGCAGGCTATTGAATCCTCCCAACTGGACAGTTCTCTTTTGTTGTGTCCACCCACCTATCTGTGCACAAATAAATTGACAATTGTTTTCCTTTCTATGCGCAGATCCTACTCGATTAGTTTTATAAATATGTGTGTATATGAATAAACACAAGTATAGATATCCAAAATTAAATTAAATTTATACAGACATAGTTAAAGCTCAAAATGCACATATATGGAAGGACAAGAACCGCCTTTAAAATTAAATTTTCTTTTTTGTACCACCTGATTTTTTTTATAGGGTTGAGATATAAAAAAATGAAATGGCTATGAATTTCCTAGATTAAAGGAGGTTGTTTGGAAACCCAGCAGATTTTTTTATAATTATTTTTTCTTCTTACAAAAAGAAAATACTGGCCCTGTACCATTTAATCTTTTCTCCACTCAAATGAGGTACAAGGATTCCTTGAACTGGAGAAATGATGAAATGGTACATCCCCTGGACTTAACTGAAATAAGATAGACCTATTCCAATACTGTGATTATAAGAACACTCTAGAAGAATTAATGATCAGGCCCACTATTCTCAGTAAGGGGCATCTTTCCTCTTTGAAGGAGCCAATGAATTTCTGGGAATAGCCTGTAAGGAAATAAAGATTATTCAAAATGGACTGTAGCAACATAAGGGTAAAACATAAGGGTTCTTGTATCTTTTGGAACTTGGCTGTTTGCTTGCAGATATTATGGGGGTGTGGTTTTCTTCCTAATAGTTTGTAAATAGATATTATTTTGTTATTTGCTTATTTGTTTATCTGCATGAATTCTTTGATTGGTGTATTATTTTCTGGCTGATTTCTTGTCTGATGTTAAACTTGCTTATCGGGGTGTTATGTTCTGGTCTTTTTGTTTATCTTAGCTTTTTCCTGATATGTTTTGAACAATGTATAATGGTGGTTTATCTCTATGTATCTATTGATGGCTGATTTGTCTGAATACCAAGCTTGCCGGAATTTCCTAGCATTTTTGGATTAGTTTGTTCTTGGATGCTCAGTTTCCAAGTTTAAACTATTGTTTAGTTGTTCAACAGTTGTGAGATTAACCTTCATTGTACCTTCTGGCTGTTAGTTGTTGTTCCTGCATGTGCTCTGTGAATCTTCTGCATGTGCTCTGTGAATCATATAGTGACCGTTAAAGTCCCCACATTAAGTTTTCTGTTTTCTTCTTCTAGATCTACTGGTCCTTTGGATTTCTCAGAATGTTTTGGAGGGCTTTGATTGTTTTATGTGCTGTGGCAATACCATGTGTTTATAATAATCTTTGGTTGTTTCAGAGATGCTTCTGATGTATGATAATATTATTTTTTTCATAGTTTCTGTTGGTTATAATATACAGGTGTCATGTTGTCACATGACATTTTGCGATGTTTTTCCATTCAGGGAGCTGGGATGGGCATCCCGCCCACGGGCTGCCAATTTGACACCCCTGCTATAATAAGCATATTTTAATAAAATTGCAGATATCCATTTTGGGGGTGAGTCTAGGATTATGGTTGTGACCTGAGGCTCCACTGTACAAGGAAACAACCAATCTCACAGAGCATAAGGACTCCAGTTCAAAACTGAACTACAGATATTTTCTTCTATTAATACTTAATTAAAAGGAGAATAAAGTACTTGATGTTCCTAGAGTTTTTTTTACGATCAGTAGTTGATGACTATACACAGATGTTCATTGTTTCTGTGATCAAAAATCTATTGTTGGCCCATTTTGACATGATAATGATAGGGCATGTGTCAGATCCGTGTATCTGCCATTCTTCAATGGAAGAAGATGGTGGGGTGGATACAAGTAATCCTTTTTGATGTAACCTGAATATCCTAATTCTTGTACTGAATCAGATGACCTACATGATTTACAACTGTGGGCTGGAGCCCCCAGATGCCTGGAAACTTGTCACCTCTTGGAAAGATAGCAAGAGGAGAAGGGGACCATAAAAGTTCCAGTTCTGAAAGAAACTTCCTGGGAATCTCTTCTCAACTACATTCCCAAGGGAAAAAAGGGGGTGGGGAATTAACACATTGTATTGACGAAATCCACATTGGATCAAGGGGAGGGGTTCTAAGTCACTTTATCTAAGCTGCATGCCTGGAAGGATATCATATCCTGCTTTGAATGTCTTCCTTTCCAATAAAGAATTCCTTTTGAAAAACCCAGTTTTCAAAAGTTCATTCTTATCCTCTGAGGGGGAGAATCTAGCCCTTACAGCATGGTTTAAGCGTAATGCTAGATAATAGATTGCAAAATATTAGAAATGTAAATAAGAAAGCTGCAGTCCTCAGTTAACAGGGAATACTTTCAAGTGGGATTTTTGTAAACTTTTTTTTTCTTACATTATAAACTTCAGCTCTTCAAGGTCGGTTAGAGTAGGAAATGCAATGTGTTAAGTTTGGAGAATAAGGAGACCAGACATCTGACCAGTGACTTCAACTCTTTAATAATAACAGGAATCAGAATGGAACAGAGCAAAGCTATGGGTAGCAGTAGCTCTTTTATAGGGTTAGCTGCTACCTTATTAACCAATGAGCTTGCAATA